AGTTGAACAATCCTACCTGTTGACAATGCAATTGATGGAGACATTTTTTTTAGTTAAGTTAATGTAATTCCTCTATCTCATAATACATGACACAGTCAAACATTGTACGCATGCCAACGCACTAATTTGACTCTATTTTTATATAATTATATATTAATGAAGATTATTTTTGAAATTATATTATGAAATTTTATATTAAAACCTATATATCAACATTTTTATGATAAAATATATTTTTATTATGTTAGTAAAAAATTATGGTCAAACCTAATGCACAAAATAATCCAAATAAAGAAAAATGTTGTCATCAAAATCAAAAAAGTTATACAGATTATTACAAACATATAAAAATACTTGCTTTTTGAAGTGATATCCAATAATGCGATATCTTTTACCTTGGTTATTAAAGTGTTTTAATGTCATATCCTTGTTTCAATCATGTAAATCCTAAAAATCAATTAACATAACAAATTATTATAAGGCAAAAATAAAATTTGTTGCTAGGTAACCTAAGAAAACAAGGAGAAGAAGAAACAATAAGTGAGAACAACACACATTGACTATCACAAATTCACTACAAATTTAAAGATATTTCCATAAACAAGCATACAAACAAAAATGTATAGACAAAATTAATTTGGAGAATAAATTAAACGTTGCTAGGTAACCTAAGAAAACTAATTTCATTATTAAGGCCGAAAAGTAGGGAATTAAACATGTATGTATATGCTCGTTGCTCCACTTTTTATCTGCCTTACCTACCAATCTTTCTCTCTCCTCAACACTTACGTACACATAAATATTACTACTATTTCATTTTAATAAGCGTTTGAAACTTTGCATAATTCTCTTCTATACTATTTCATCACACATAAAATATAGTTGAATATATATAGAAGATATTTATCTTGATTAATCAAGATATATTTTTTTATGATTAGTATAATATGAGCAAGATTAAAGGTATTATTACCTTTGTTCTTAGGCTTATAGCTTTGGCATGTACTATTGTTGCAACTATTGTTATGGGCACAGCCCATGATTCTGCTTCTGTGTTAGGGATCAAATTCGACGCTAAATTCACAAATTCTCCGTCTTTCAAGTAAGTCATCATAGTATCGTTATTTGATATATACTCTCTTTGTTTGGAATTAATAGTTATACGGATTGTGTGATTTGTGACGTTAAATTAATTTGAATTTGTTGAAAACGCGGGTGTGAAAATGTAGGTACTTTGTGATTGCGTATGCAGTAGTAAGCTTTTATTCTCTGGTGGTTCTTTTGCTGCCTTTCAAGAACTTGCTATGGCGCCTTATTCTGGTTTTAGACATGGTAAATTCCGGCCTCTTTCTCTGTTTCTCTCTGTTTTGGTCAAATTGCTCTGTTTTCTTGTTATTTTAAATAAACCAGTTAAAAAATAATCAAGCAAAAATTTATTTATCTTAATTATTATTAGTATAGAAAAGAAATTTATTTATCTTAATTATTACGTATTGATATAGAAAAGAGGATACCCTAAGGGATAATGTCTTGCAAGAAAGTTATTGATGATTAAAAACCATTTTCAAATGAGTCAAATCATTAATTTTTTTTTTTATTCGGAGTAATTATGTAAGAGGTATAATAATTGAGTGATTAGTCAACAGTGAAACTGTACACAATAATGGAGAAGAGAAATCGCTCTTAAATAAAAGGGTCTTTTAATCTTGTACTCGTATTTGTGTTCTGAACAATCCTCTCGTTTTTTGTAAAAAAAAAAAAAAAAAAATCCATAAAACAATCCTCTCGTTAGAGGCTTTCATTAAGGTTTTTTTTTTTTTCCATTAAGTTGGAATTAAAAGTCTTTTATAGTCTTTTAACGTGCTTAACAAAAGAAGTCTTACCACTTGAATGATGAAGGGAGTCCCAATTTATTTTCATGATAAACAATAAAACAAAAATTATTTATCTAGTGACATTTCGGAAAATAAATCAACAAATATCCTAGTTAGCGTGATATTTTCATAAATAAATCAACATTAGTGGGACCCACATTTAATAAAAGGGGTTGTTTGGTTACACAAAGAAAATGGGGGAAGTGGAAAATCATGGGAATTTGAAAATGCATGAGTTGTTTGGTTGACAATAAAAAGTGTAAATAAGGGAATTACAAATTCATGGGAATTGTGACTTCCCACAAAACATGGGAAGTTAATTACCTAACCCCACCTAGGTAAGTCAAACTTCCTATGATTTGCAACTTACCTCATGCCAACCAAACATCTTTATACAATTCCCATGATTTTAATGTAGGAATTTAATTCCCATGAAATACAAATTCCTATGGGAAGTAATCCCATAGCAACCAAACGACACCAAAGTTGATAACTTATTTATAGAAATGCCATTAGAAATTTCTTTTTTTTTTTATTTATCATGGAGATAAACTTGTATTTTCTCGTTGATGAGTTCCTCGTGGGTCATATAACTACTATACCGTCCACACACATAGCCTACCTTAGCGGCTTAGCTTATAGGAGTATTTTTGTTGGTGCAAAACGATGTCATTAATAAATTTACGGGCACAAAACGTGCAGGTAGTGACGCTACTTTTGACTTCAGCAGCATCGGCAGCATTGGCAATAGCATACGTAGGAAAGAAAGGGAATAGTCATGCAGGATGGCTAGCGATATGCGGGCAAGTCCCTAAATTTTGTGATCAGACCAGCGCTGCCCTCGCCGTTGGCTTCGTTGCTGCAATCATCTATTTTGTGCTCCTTCTTTACTCCCTTCATGCTGTTCTTAGTCCTCTATTTCCTGCTTCCACCTGAATTTTCTAGCTAGCTACAATTTATTAGTTAATGTAATGTATGTATACCATCAAATTTAGTGAGTTATTATTATTATTATTATTATTATTATTATTATTATTATTATTATTATTCCCATTTCCCATACTTTCATGTAATTTTCGCTATATACTCTCTATCATTTTCACTATGACTTAGATATGTGTACACTTTTTTTTTCTTTGATTTTTCGGGCAAGAGTGCTTCTTCACTCCCCCTCACATGGACCTACTCTTGGCCCAATATACTTTAAGCCATTTAAGGTCCCATATTGTGAGTCTGACTCTGATACCATGATAGAGGATCAACTCAACCAAAAGCTTAAGCTGATGGTTGAGGCCTAGAAATATGTTTTATACTCTATCATTAACGATGTCTTAATTTATAGATAAAAATCTTACAAAAGCTTTAATATAGTACTCCGTAATATATATGAAAATAAAGATCAATTATATCATACAAAAACTTGAAATATTAATTTTAATTGTCGTCATAAAATGACATCTTAATTGACTATTAGTCTCACCATTGGAAGAAATAAATCCAGATAACTCAGATTATTTATTAACCTAATTTTTCAATTTGTGTCAAAATTTTAACAAATCAAAATGCAAAATGTGTTTGTGTTTTTTTTTTTTTTTTTTTTTTTTTTTTTTTTTTTTGAGGTTAAAGGAAATATCACAAGTTTTTTGTTTTCCTTAAGGCAGTGTTTTATATTGGCAGATGATTGGGCATGGGGGCAAATGCATGTTAGAGATGCAATCTCTATTGTTTAACCACCCATGATAGTTACAAGCACAATTTATACTTTTGTAATCATCAGACCACCACCAAACTCCATCTGTATTTTGGTTTGGGCTTTGCTAAATTCTTATCCAATTTAAATTTTACGGAGTAGTTCAAAATTTCTGAATAGCTTCTACGGTTCTACTTTGTCCATTTGTCGGAAGTCAAATAATCCATCAATTAAACCCGCCTAGATTTGACAACTCTGACCCAAAACCCGAAATCTACCCATACCTGACCCGACTTGATTATATCTTTATACCAGATTCGACAATCGATATGACACGATTCAAAGTTGACCCGAATAACTTGACCCGAACAAACCTGATACTCGAAATATCCCAAACTAAAATTACCTAATATCTAAAATAAAATGTCCAGCTCCGTTAATGACTTAAATTGTTTCATCCCCAACCGTAACTTAACTCACAAACCAAATAAAATTATTGATTTGAGATTGATTCACAAAATCGACACAAAAATGAACAAACAATCTAATTCTGATCTGTCACGAACATACTTGACCTTAAATTGACCCAATTTGAATTCAACCTGATACTTGACCCGAAATATACATAAAACTCGAATAATCCGCCCCAACCCAAATGTTAGGGCATGTTCTCTTCCGTTGAAATTCAGTTCAGCTCAGTTCAGTTCAGTTCAGCTCTTAATTTACGTCTAATGATATTACTAATGATATAAAGCCAAATTTCATTCTTTTAAGCTCTTATTACAATGACGACAACAACAACAACAACAACAACAACAACAACAACAACAACAACAACAACAACAACAATAATAATAATAATAATAATAATAATAATAATATTAACAATAATAATAATAATAATAATAATAATAATAATAAATAAGTAATAAATAATAATAATAATAATAATAATCAATAAAAAATAATAATAATAATAATAATAATAATAACAATAATAATTGAAATAATAATACTAATAATAATAATCAATAAATAATAATAATAATCATCAATAAATAATAATAATAATAATAACAACAACAACAACAACAATAATAATAATAATCAATAAATAATAATAATAATAATCATCAATGATTAATAAAAATAATAATAATAATAATAATATTATTATTATTATTATTAATATGTACATTTGTATATACACATATGTATAATAATAAATAATCAATAAATAATTAAATATCACTAATCTGTAATTAAAAATCACTAATTAATAAGTTCAGTTCAGTTCAATTCAGCTCAATTCAGTTCAATTCAGTCAATTGGAACAGACCCTTAGTTAATCTGAAATGACTCGAATAAAATTGACCCGACCTAGACGAAGACCACAAAACAAGACAATACCGGAGCACATGAAAAAGAATGTTCTGTTTATCCACAAGACAAGTCCACAATAGCGACATGGATCAAATTATGACCTCGAGTCCAAACTAATTGTTTCTTGACAAAAACAAACTGAAAATCCATACAAATCTGGGTTTGGAAATTTTTTCTCTTCTCTGAAGATGAGTAGTGTACCAATTACTGGAGCAATTCTAGCATCAACCCATTTGAATTTTCCTTCAACCCACATTTCTAAGTTGCAAAATCCCATTTATGGAAGAAGATCAAGAATTCGGATTCACTGTTCATCTTCATCTCCTGACTTTTCCTCAATTACTGGTATATTTCATTCATTATCTCTCTAATTTTAAGTGCTGTATTTTCATGGTTCAATTCCGTACTTTCTACCGTTCTAAAATTTCAACTTACTATGATTAATATCCCAAAAATGATTAATAATAATAATAATAATAATAATAATAATAATAATAATAATAATAATAATAATAATAATAATAATAATAATAATAATAATAATAATAATAATAATTCAATTTCCCCTTTAGTTCTTGTGTTTTGAAGTTGATTTGCTTAGCTTTTATTTAAACTAGAGTTAGCAATGAGATGTGATAAATTTGCCATGAATGTTGTGTTTCTTTTATGCATTGTGAATTTGGGATGATTGTAAATTATATCAATGTGTGTGGGAATTTGCTATTTACAAACTAAAGATTAATGTTAATTCACTCTTCAATTTATCATTTGTACTAGTTTCACTTGGACTAAGGGCCTGTTCTCATAGATTGGGCTGAGCTGAGCTGAGCTGAGCTGAGCTGAGCTGAAAATAAACGTATGAGAACAGACCCTAAAACATGAACTTCTTACCTTACACTTTCATTTTTCAATTGGACTAAGGCTGTAATTGCTGATTTGGTAGGTGATATTATATGATGGTTACAAGGAAAGTATCATGCTATGTCCATGGTATTACAATTCGGTCTCGTAGCGTGTGTTGTTCTTCATATGTTTCCATCTCCACTCAGTACAAACCCCTATATGGATAGGATGGAAAACAAGAAATATCATGGGGTGAAATGTGTATTTAAATTTATCACCTTGATAAACTTGATTGCAAATCAAGTGGTATTTATGTAAATTAGTAAACAAACAAAGTAAGCATGAGATTGTTTATGATAAAATCAACAAATTCATTATAATTGTGGAGCATACACTTGTTGATTTTGTTACCAAAATGTTATGCTGACTAGGTTTTTTTGTTGACTTATTTACAACATTTCCACTTGATTTGCAATTTTCGCTTACCATGGTGATATTGGACTTACTTGGGGTGACATAGCTTTACCATGCGCATGGCATTGGCATTTGACTTTCCTAATTTTGACCATCATATATGTAGAGAACATGTGTATTTGAGGAAGGAACAGGAAAAAATTATTAATTTGAGGCAAGAAACTACTGGAAAGGAAACAACTTGTATATAATCTTCAAGCAAAATGAAGAATAGAAGATATTAGTAGTTTAAATATTACAAGCTCAATTTTGTGTCATGCAAATATTTATATGATTTGACTTATGAATAAAATCAATTATAGTATAACCTCTACGAACGAGTGAGGAAGATGGCAATCTTTAGAAATAGAAACCCTCTTAAACCCATTGTTGCACCAAGGAATTTGCAATAAGCTGTGATATAATGGTGATTGCTGTTTATGCATGTTTTTTTCTTGCCACTAATGCAGTCGACCTTGTCTGTGGCTCTCACCATGGGTTCTCCCTTCTATTTTTACCATCTTTTTCACAAAGTTTTGTTTGAAGAATTTTTTTGTGAAATAAAGTGAATGTTTTAGCTTTTTCCATTTAAAATTGACAAAATATTGTCTCTATTGAACAGAGAATTTTAAGGACGCTATTTCTCTCACAGGTGGTGCATTGGATTTTCAGAAGGCAACTACATCTCTTTCTTCTGAGCAATTATCTTCCCCAAAGAAGATAACACTTGTCAGGCATGGCCTTAGCTCATGGAATGCTGAAAGTAGAGTTCAGGTTTGTTGCTTCTCGTCCAAGGCATTTTTTAAATTTGGTTCTATTACGTCTTAACTATCTTACAAGCTGCTATAACAGTCTTATCTTTGTCTTGAGCAGTAATCATATTGTCTTTACCTTGTTAGTTTTGAACTCTTGTGCATGAAGTTATCAGCAAAGCACCTCTTCTGGGAAATATTAAGCTCTGTAGTTTTGTGCTTTTGTCTAAGTGGAGTAGTGGAGAGAGTGAGAAAGAGAGTTCCTTAAATCCCAGTTTCTCAATTAGAGTGTAGGGGTAGGCGATAGAATATGGAACATGATGCAGCAGCCTTCCTAAGCAGCCAAGCTCATTATCTGTTATTACTTTCTATATTGGGATGTTTTAGCATAACCAAAATATATTATAGCCAAAAGATTATTTAAGTTTTTCATCTTGCATTTATCACTCAAATATTTTGCAAGTATGCCTTGAGTTTCTTAAAACTTTGCTTTATATAAGTGAAAACCTATGCAGCCTTCAATGTTAGGATGTGGATAAATCATACGTTGAGAATCTTGAGATTCAAGAAAATAATCACCTATGCATATAATGAAGTTGTTGGTTGAATAATTTTGATGTTTACCAATAGTGTTATATCTGAAGATTGATCCAGTTTTGATACACCAGGGAAGTTCGGACTTGTCTGTTCTGACAGATGAGGGAGCAAAGCAGGCGGAGAGATGTAGGAAGGCGTTAGCAAATATACATTTTGATAAATGCTTCGCAAGTCCAATATCTCGTGCTAAGGTTTGAGACTTATGAGTTGTTTTAGTAGTTAATCTGAAACTTTAGGTAGTTCATAATTTAATGATTTCCATCTGTGTCTATTCATTGCAGTCTACTGCTGAAATACTATGGCAAGGGAGAAAAGAAGCACTTATTTTCTATGATTCTTTGAAGGAGGTTCATCTTTTTTTCTTGGAGGGCATGAAAAATGGTCAGTTCCTGTTGTTTAGTGATAAAATTTCGCTTATTATCTAGAAATTAGATTTGAATTGGACTCATACTTTTCGTACAATTCTTGTGCTGGAGTTTAGTATGAGTACGGAAAATAATTAAATTCCTGTTAAAAGATTAAAACATCACAGAAAACACGAGAGCTAAGCATGCAGATTCATGTATTCGTTATTCAAATTTCTGTATGAGATTATGATATTTGCACCAAATATTTTGCGGACAAAAGAGAGAAATTGAATCATGTTCAGCATTTCGAGGCAGAGGATGCTAAACAGAGATATCCCAAGGAATATACAACCTGGAGGGAAGATCCTGTAAACTTCAATGTGAACGGCACCTATCCTATTAGGGATTTGTGGGTGACAACAGCTGAAACTTGGAGAGAAATCTTGTCAAACCCTGTAAGCACTTTCTTCTCTAATCATTGTGAACGTTGTGAGCTTGCAGACATCAAATCTATTTTATGATGTGTGGCAGTGCTTTCAACTTTGATGCGTTGATTTCTTCTGTTTATTAGGGGAAGAGCTTTTTGGTGGTCACTCACAAATCAATATTGAGGGCACTCGTCTGCACAGCTCTAGGGCTAGGCCCAGAAAGGTATGCTATGGCGATTCATGCGTGAGAAGCTTTTCTATTAATATATTCTGGCTGTGTCTTTAAAAGTTAATAACAGGCTGATTATTTCATGGTAATTTAGATTTCGCGCAATTGATGTGAACAATGGCGGAATTTGTGTACTGAATTTCAACAAAAGAGGAGAAGCTATGCTTCATTCTCTGAACATGACTGCCCACATGTACACTGATCTCACTTATATGCACTGAATTTTGTTACAACTTTCTGGAAGGGGAGATCACGAGACCACAGCTAAGTAATTAAACCGATTCTGTTCTAGCTTGAAAATTCTGATTCCATTCGATATCATTCTTCTTGAAGTGTTTCTGGCAATTCATTGTAACTTATCGGTTTTTGGGATGTCAGTACTGGTATCAATCATTGTAAGTGACTGATAATGTTAATTGATACACTGATAAAGTTAACTGATACACCAGTGTATATAGCTTAAATGATTATATAATCTTCATGTTTACCTCTGGTTTCATTTGTCTATACCAATTGTATGCTTTTTGTTCAAGCTCCATCCTCGATCTAAACGGTTCCAAGCTTGCCATTATGGCCCTCATAAGAACTTATAAGTTGTATACTTGTACAGTATATGTATTTAGGTACATATCACATGAACTTAGGCCTTGTTTCGTCCAAAAACTTGCACCCATCATAGAAAATAGAACAAATTTCCATAGTTTAAGTGCTTGTCTAAAGCAAACTCACTACATTCATACTTCAAATCCGAGAACCTCATACAAGAGAGAAGATATTTAATTCAAATCTTGTGTCACCCCAAATATTGAAATATATAAGCAAAACATTAGGAAAACCATTGAGAGCCTCAACACCCCCCATTTTCGAATTCATAAATGTGTACTCTATATAAGGTGAAACTGTTTTAAATATTTTAAAAATTAGGTTACAGTTTTTACTTGGTCCCCTAAAAACTAATTTTGGTCCTTAAATTTTTTTTTTTCTTTCTTTTTTCTAATTTCACGTCTGACGTTAAATAAGGATGTGTATGCTTAAAAAAGATCAACTATATTAATATAGAGAGGGTAATGATGTAGATAAGATATAAAGTGCAGAGAACCACTCTAAAAGCTAGCTCGAGTAATTAAATGATGTTTAGTGATAAAAAAAAGTTTAACTGATATCAAGATAATACATTTTGGACAATCCCTTTCAAATTTTCAATAGTATTTAGATAGACAATTATGAGTATATACTAGGGCTGAGCAAAACTACCCGAAAAAACGAAAATCCGAAAACCCGTTCCGTTACCGTTCCGAAAATTAGGGTACCCGATCCGATAACCATAACGGTTCGGGTGCCCGTTCCGATAATTTGTTATCGGGTATGGTTTTTGGGTATCATTTTAAAATTAACGGGTACCCATTCCGTTCCGATAAGCAATTATTTTGTTTTTTTTCCTACTTAAATCTATCTTTTCAATATTTAAACTCTTACATTACTTCAAAATCACTATAAATATCAATAATTAGTAATGTTATTAATAATTTGGTCAAGATCATGTGGTATTGTTGTTAATTAGTGTTGAAAAATATCATAATAACTAATTTTTGTAAGTTTAATTATCACTATTGGATACTTTATAGGGTACCCGATAACCGTTCCGAAAATTCGGGTACCCGAAGTCCGGGAACCCGAACTTATCGGTTCGGGTTATGGATATCACTTTTAGTGATATTGGTTATCGGGTACCCGAACCGTTAGTACTAACGGTACGGGTACCCGTCCCATGCTCACCCTTAGTATATACACCAAGCTAAGCTTGGTCTAGTGGAGAGGAGAGGAGGATGAGATTTTCTTACCTTTTCCCCACTCTCTCAAAATTATCTAGCCCGCTAACTTAAGTCAGATAGGACCCTTCATCTTACATTCTTACCTAAAAAAAAAACATTTGCATCATCCCATCATTTGCATGACCAAATTCGTGACAATTATTAGGATAAAATCATAAGACACAAGAGCCTACATAGTAGAGAGAGAAAGGCTCGGCATAATCCTATGACACATATCATACATTAGCAAATAGCAATCATGTAGAAGAAGAAATCTTATTTTGGATCTCAATTATAAAATGACTTCATGTCATATTTTTTACAAGTACTTTCATGATTTCATCACCAGATTACGTTATTTGATTCGCTTAATTTTTAATTATTTTTTATTATACTCGACGCATAAGCCAATTTCATTGCCCAAAAAAGAAACCCTATGTCAATTTAATATATGGAGTACTAGTACAGTTTGTAAACATTCCTTAGACTTTTGTTTAAAAAACTAAAAATACTTGAAGTGTTCGAATTAAAAAGCAATGAAGCTAAAGCTCATAAAATGATTCATATAGAGTCACAATTATTATGAATCTAGATCTATTCATGCATAATGAATGATTGATATTCTCTAAAAGCAATTAATTAAGTGTACTTAAGTTTATGGTTTATGCCTTTTGAAACCAAACAATTTAGAGAAATTATTGTCCGTGTAAAATTTTCTAACAATAATATTTGTATTATACAAAGAGGTGGATTTTCGAGAGAAGTTGTATTTATTTATTTTTTTTTTATTTTTTTTTTTGGAATGGAAGTTGTATAAATTTATTGAAATCTGCTATAAGAAATCAATGAAGAACAATATGAACTAGAGAGAGAAGAAATTAGAGAGAGAAAAAGAGGGGAGAGTATTCTCATTTAATTGAATTGAGAATTAAAAATAGCTACAACATGAATATTTATACTTAGCTATAATACTCTATGCTTAGCTTCTATTACAAGCAACAAAAACATAACAGAATTGCTGACTAAGCAAGAATCTTGTAACAAACTTAGCCTACGTGGCAAACATGCCATAAGCATGACTTTAGCAGAAATAATCAGCATCATCATATTCTGCAATATCATCAACATCCCCCCGCAAGCTGGAATGGATTGAGTCTTCAGTCATGAGCAGCTTGGAAGAAAGTTTAGAGTGTTGGGTTACTGACAGAGCTTTTGTCATGATATCTGCAAGTTGCTCTGCTGTAGGAAGATAAGTCAGTTGGATCAAGCCCTCAAGAACTTTATCCCTGGTGAAATGACAATCCAATTCAATGTGCTTAGTACGCTCATGAAAGACAGGATTTCTGCCAATGCGTATTGCACTTTGATTGTCACAATTGAGAGTTACAGGCAGCAAGTCTGTAATACCTAGATCAAAAAGCAGCCTGACAAGCCAAGTAGTCTCTGATGCAGCTGCAGCCATGGCTCTATACTCAGCCTCACTTGAGCTCTTTGAGACTGTAGTCTGTTTCTTGGACTTCCAAGATACAGGGGAGTTTCCCAAAAGAAGAATATAGCCAGTCACAGATCTTCTTGTGGTTGGACAAGATGCCCAATCTGAATCAGAAAATGCCTGGAGAATGAGCTTAGTAGAAGCTCTGAGCAGAATACCTTGCCCTAGAGTATGAGCAATATACCTAAGGACATGCTGCAATGCTTTAACATGAGAAAGTCTGGGCTGCTAAAGAAATTGACTCAAAGTCTAGACTGAGTAAGCAATGCCAGGCCTGGTATTAGATAGAAAATTCAATTTTCCTACCAAAGATCTGTACAACTCTGGATCAGAATAGTATTCACCTTCAGCATCCTGTAGTTTCACCCCAGTAGGAAGAGGTGTTTTAGCAAGCTTTGACACATCCATTTGACATTCACTAAGCAATTCTTTAGTGAATTTCTTCTGAGTTAGAAGAATCCCAGAAGATAGGTGTGTTACCTCAATTCCTAAAAAATAATTCAATACACCAAGATCTTTGATGCTGAATTGAGCATGTAAATGAGCTTTGAAGTATTCAATTTCAGCAGAATCTGATCCTGTAACAAGGATATTATCAACATAGACTGCTACTATTGTCAAAGCAGATGCACTCTTTTTCAAGAAGAGAGAATAATCATTCTTTGACTGAACATAACCCATGGCCAATAATTCAGCATTAAGCTTTGCAAACCATTGCCTAGAAGCCTGTTTTAGACCATACAATGACTTCTTTAATTTGCAGACCATATTGATGGGATTAGCTAGCCATTTTAGAGCTCTCATATAGACTTCTTCTGACAAATCACCATGGAGAAAGGCATTATTTATATCCAACTGATATACTGTCCAATGATTACTTGCTGCAACAGATAAAATACACCTTCTTGTGGCCATTTTCACAACTGGAGAGAAGGTTTCCAAGTAATCAATACCATATTTCTGAGTGAATCCCTTAGCTACAAGCCTGGCCTTCAGTCTTTCAACTGACCCATCTGCTTTCAATTTCACCTTAAACACCCATTTACAGCCAATTGGTTTTTTACCTTTAGGTAAGGGTACCAAATCCCAAGTATTGTTAGACATCAAGGCATCCAGTTCCTTTTTCATTGTTGTAACCCACTCTGGGTGTTGAGAAGCCTCTAAATAGATGACAGGCTCAGAAACCTGTGCAACAGTATTAATCAAAGCTCTAGCTGCTGGAGGTATAATGTTGAACTGAACCAGATTGCACCAGTGTTCAGTTACATTGCTTGCCATACAAACAAAGTTGTCAAAGTGAGAAGGCCATTTTCTTGGTCTGGTAGATTGTCTAACAGATTTAGGGTTTGTGTTTGGGGTAGGTGGATTTGTGTTTAAGGTTGGTGGATTTGTGTTTGAAGGTTGTACTGTAATTGTTTCTGCATTTGAATGAGATTCAAGCTGTGTGACAGGAACAGGACGGGGTTCTGGAACAGTACAGGGATCTGGGATATGTGACTCTGGTTGAGGTTGTAAGTCAGGTTCTGGTTGTAGGATAAAAGGTTCAGGGATATCAAATGGGATGTCTAGCTGATAAGGTGTTTCTGTGGGTAGAAAAATAGGAATTTTAGATTGGTTTAAGGTTGAATCATAGTGGAAAGGAAGATGTTTCTCATAGAACACAACATCTCTTGAGATAATGATCTTGTTGTTTCCAAATTCAGAACCCTGTATGCCTTTTGATCTGGAGGATATCCCATCATAACACAAGGACTTGCTCTTGAATCAAATTTTGTCCTATCATTCTTTAGAGTTGAAATGTAACACAATGAACCAAAAACTCTAAGGTGATCAAGTCTAGGCTTAGTGTTATACAGCTTCTGATAAGGTGATGTGAAATCAACACTGCTCAAAGGCGACCTGTTGATTATGTGTGTTGCACACATCAAACATTCTCCCCAGAATCTGATAGGAACCCTTGACTGAAAGTATAAACCCCTTGCAGTCTCTAAGCTAACAAGTGTATGTGCTTCCTTTCAACCACTCCATTTTGTTGTGGAGTATCAGGACAAGATTTCTGATGAATGATGCCCTTATCATTATATAAATGCAAGATTTCACCCTCACTGAGCTCTTTAGCATTATCAGTTTTAATGCATAAAACCTTAGCACCAAACTGATTTTCAATCAATAGTACAAGGTTATTTAAGATAAAGACAACATCA